AGAAGAACACTTACAACAGGTCGTGTCCATGAATGGCAAACCGAGCGAGGGTTGTCAGTTTGGTCGGGACAGTTATGAGCAAGTACAATGAAACGAATATGATTAGAAATCCGAGGACAGAGGAACAGAACAAGAAGAGAGCATAGAACTCCATGTTAACCATCAACTATTGGAACGTTGCGTTGTTGAGTAGAATTGTGAGATCTTTGCTGCTCTGATTATACTCCGATTTTCCATCGAAGTGGTTCTGATCACAGTAAACAACAGCCCAGGCCGACATGCTTCAGTTAGTATTCGCTATCAGAAGCTTCAAATCTTGCAACATGCATCCATTTCGGTTGGTTATGTAGGCGCTGTCACCTGGGTAACAAGCTTGATCACTATACTCCATTTCAGAACCCAAAGCTTAATAAGCAAACAGCAATAGTGTACTCCATTCAAGTTCCAATAGTGTCATGTACGACAGCCTCCATACAGGTTTTCCTAATGAAATTTAAAACACTCACGTGGCCATTTCACGGAGTGGATATACGACTGCTCTGTCCCAAATCGTTAGTTGATGATCTCCTCTTCTCCGTCTGTGTATTCTCGTTCGGAAGAGGACACGAGCATGTCCCCTATATCCCAAAGAATCTTCAATCCGTACATATTTATTTTCTTGAAATCGAATAGAATGTACTTTTTGATCTCTCAGGTTCAATTCAACATTAACAGAGACCTGGCAGACAATCTCAGTGTTTCTAAAATTCCTTGGCAAGCCTGAAACCTTTATTACTTTCAGTAAAACCTACTGGATTTGTTACCGCTGTTATCCTCGAGCTTTCTGTTAGAAGAGATTGTTTTGTGAAACAAGCACGTGCACCGACACCAGAACGCGCACAATTTGAGGGGCGGGGCTTGAATGCTGACTACATGACAAAACAACACAGACTCATATTAATCCCGCAAACTGTCTCCTACAGCTGATACCCCAGCTGTTGTAGTTGATATCGAGGTGGAATCAGGATTTGTTTCTCCGGTTCTCTATAGATTTCTTTCTCGGAGGATAAAATCTAAAGGAGGATCTCAATTGAGAGTAGATGAATATGTGGAATCCTTTGAATAGACAGCTACTGACGAAGTGAATGGGAAATGATGAAAGAATAGTAAAAATCATATTGCTTAGCAATAGCTTACAGGTATAACAGGAAGGTCCCTTTAATACAAAACTATTGAAGAAGGGGAACATCTTTCATTGAGCTTTATCGGAACATACACAGCTTGCTAAGGAATTCATTAAACAACACGAAACTATAGAAAGAAAACGATCTTCTCACTCTATAAGCATTTAGATTTTTCAATCAGGAACTCCCACATCTTTGGTTTCAGCTCGTTGTCCATGTCCTGATAGAGCTCACTTCGAACTATGTTCTTCATCCAGCCTGCAGAGTTATGAGGAATTACATTGATAGCATAAATCTTCTGCAAATCCAGTCAAATGAATAATACACCTTTTGGCTCCACCTACCTTCAATGGTTCAATAGAGTATTTCCAAGACAGAAGGAAGATCTCGCGTTTGCTGTCCTCGGTTGTTTGAGGGTTCTTCAACATTGATTCCATGAACTGTTGGCACAATTGAACGATATGATTCACTTCGAACTTCTTCCCCCAATGAAGTAATTGTTTTAAATTGTGTTCTGGAAAACTGAGAGACTAGGTTTGAACCAAGAATACCATACCATCGACTGGCTCGAAGGGGAAGTAAATGTAATGAAGAAGCTCGCGAAGATCTTCGACTGGAATTGTGTCCTCCAAACAGATCTCACTCGCGGCTTCGTTTCCAGAAACAGATTGAAGCGTTGGATCAGTAAGCTTCCGGTTCTTTCCGATCAAACCTTTGAAGATCTTGGAGTTCCAAGATAGTATCTGAGATTTCAAATGTGAACGATGTGCATCCACTCTCATACCTGACTGTGGCAGTGAAGCTTCTCACCGTTGACATTCAATACCAAATCTTCATTGGAATCCGGACTTTCGAAGACTTTCCCTTCGAATTTGCTATTTTCACGAAGATAATAAGAAGTACTGTAGCAAACTAACTGTATCCCTCTCGTCCTAATTCGGGAAATCTCGACTTTTACCGAAAAAACTATTTTCTCTCTGAAAGCCTCCACATCTTCGATACACAGATCTTCGCCCGTAACAACATCTTTTTTCTCACGGGTCCAAGTTGTTGATGCTCCGAACGTGTATTTCACATCAAATGTTGTCTTCCAAGGAAGTAATGGACAACCTACATCTCCGATCAGTTCGCAGCTAATTATGATCTTAGCAAAACTATTATTCAGAGTGAATTGAACAGTCCTGAACTCAGATTGAGAAGTATTGGAATGTGAACGAACCACTTGACATTCTCAATTTCTTGGGATGTGGAATGACTTTGAGTTTCAGATGAAACGGGAAAAGTATGCGAGAAGTCCATGTCAACCTATAATTATGCACATAAGACACTGACGAACATTCATGAACATCATTTCGCAACCACTACAGCTCCGAGGGGCGATAAAAAGCGGATCATGATGAATATACAACCGCCCATGAAGAATAAGAAAGTAATTTGAATGTTAATAATCCCGGGGGAGGGCGAGACATTTACCGGTTGGAAGTGGACAACACATCGAAACTAACTGAAAACTTATGATGAAATTATTCGAATGGAAGACCCGTTGGCTCTTACGTCTCCTCCGTCTTCGTAAAGACTGCTCGGGAAAATAATTTGGAACGAAAAATCCTAGCAGAGACATTCTTTGTTGTTTCACGTCCTCAGAAAGAATCAGATATGCTTTACTTTTCATCGTTCAAGGTGAGGAATAGCAGCTTCTTGTTACTGTTCTTTTCTGACCTTTTCATAAGATTAGATGAGCATTCACATGTATCTGTATTGAAAAACAGTTGGCAGAATGATTTTGATGCCAGGCTGTCTTGTTCAATCTTCATCCACCGTAGTGCGTCCATGAGAAAGTACGAAAGTGCGCAGCGCTGAAAATCCAGTATCTGGTTCAAAACCTGTCGGTGAAGAGAAATGATTGTAACTTACTGTGAGTGATGATATACGATTAGTCTTTCCGAGACGGTCAATATTTTGTAATTATTGTGTCTGTAGATGTTACTTTCACCATATTTCATATTTTTTTACAAAAGAACAAAGGAAAGTTTCTATCTGGAGCATGAAATGGTTACTCTGAAGGGAACAAAAACATCTCTGGGAAGTAGATGATTGGTAACAACCACAACCGTCAACACAACAATGAGTAGAACATCTTTCACAAAGGTTTATTACATACGAACAGAAACGAGATAGCCACATCTAGAAACAAAGAAAATAGAAGTACTCCATTACACCTGACGTTCAGCTCCGTTCTGCTCTGCTTAGGACAACGCATACCTGGACATATGTAGCTGTGATCCTTCGTATGAACTTCTCAGAATATTTATCTGTTCCTAGGAAGTAAGGATGTCACACTATCTTGAGTGTCGGAATGAGAACTCACCGATGTGTTCTGTAGTCGTTCCGTTCATCCTTTAGCATAGACAAGCAAAGAGAAGACCTACGTACGTACGGAACAGACTGGCAAAAGTCAGAAACGTTATTTCGCAACTGCACAGTACGGAGAAGCATCAAAGGGCGAATTAGAATGAATATGACCTCAATGGTTAAGTTTAACGTTAGCACTCTGAAGAGAAGGAAGATATCAGTGTACCGCATCCTGTAAGAATGAAGTTTGACTCTAATTCTGGGTAGATGTTAACGTAAACGATCTTTATAAATAAGCCGAACTATGCAGAAAAGAACATTTGGAAACACTTGAGCTGGAGATCTGGACGTACAGTTCACTAACGCTTTCTCCATATCACAAATCAGAAAATGGATGATCATTGACCAAATGGAGAAACGGTAGTTTGATCCATATTACAGATTACTCAAAGGTTCTCAAACACTAAGTGACTGTCGTCTGATCACGAGTGAGGGTAGTCACCTTCCCAGCTGAAACAAGAGAAGATTATTGCCTTGCTCTTACCAATCAGTGGTCATAAAAACGCAACAATCCCGAACGAACCTCTCCTGAAGATAGAGTGAATCCTATTTCTGTAATCTGTGTTGGACATTAACACGAAATACGATCCGAATGCAGGATAAACACAAAAACTTATCATTCCGAACTGGTAAACAACTGTAAAGAAACTGTTTGTGGGCACATAGGGTAATAGAGTTCATACCTACGGTTCCTATATTGAGAGCAGCGCAAATGTTGATGCACATCATAGGAATGGCAAGCCCAAAAAACTCCGCCATCATCTGAATAAATAAACTGGTTATTTAGGAAAAATCAACTCACAAAGGAAAAAACGCCAACTGTAAGTCTTCGTTGGTTGGCTAAGAACTGAGCCGACTGGGATGATTTCGCTTGATCTCGGATGCTTCGCAATAGGATTTTTACAGAGATGTTCGTAACCAACATGTACACGACCGTTACGAGCGCTACATATACCATTAATGTAAACATCGCTATATCAGTCGACAGCATGAAGAAAACTCCGTTCATTGTATCCATTTCTTCGGGATACACCTCGATCTTCTGGAAACAGTAGATTCAAAAAGAATTCAATACTCACAACCTTCAAACAGATGTTCCGGCCTTCCTCCTTATGATTTTCAATGGTGAACGCAATAACAACTAGCAGAAGTAATTGAACTAGAACTTGCCCGAAGAAGAGTTTTAAGACGAGTTTCTTCGCTCGATCAGACATTTTAACAGAAACTGCGAGAGCCCGATTGATAGTGATGAGAAGAGAAAACGATGAACTTGCTGTAACACATATGGTTCAATTCCTCCCTTTACCCAATGCTCCTTACTAGCTACCAAGGCCATTAAAAGGCAAAATTGCATGAGGCTGCTCAGTATGCCGGAACGTGTGAACAACCCTGCATAGTACATACCGGTGCATGGAAGAATAAGATACGGTTGCAAAGCAAGCGTCAAGTACAGTTGAGTGATTGCACCCCTATATAACAATGCTTATATCAAATAAGAGAAGTCCACTCACAGTAAATCATGTCCATGTATGGCAAACCGAGCGAGGGTTGTCAGTTTGGTCGGTACAGTTATGAGCAAATACAATGAAATGAATATGATCAAGAATCCCAATAGAGAGGCGCTGTACAAGAAGATGATATAGAGCTCCATGTTAACCAACAACTATAAGTAAGTTTTGTTCTCAATTGTGAGGGAACATTTGCTGCTCTGATTCTCTATCAAAACGTCAAAAACACGAGCCTAGACTTACATGCTTCAGTTGGTTTTGGTTTTCACAAACTACAAACCATGTAATACGATTTCGTTCCCGTTGCTTATGTAGGTGTTCTCACTTTTCTGATTATTACGCTCTGGTTTCACGAGCCGAAGTCCTGTAAAGAAACTATTTTCATGAGTGATAATGGGCTGCACCACCTAACTGAATCGATCCTACCTTGTCATTGGGAGCAGCTAACGAATAATCTAATACGAACCTTCTCAAATGAGAACGGAACTGAATAAGACTTTATTCATTTCCCTCTTCGTCTCGAGTGTACTGTTACTCTCTTCTGAGCTGAGGTTTGATCGCTTCTACAAAAATTCCTATATTACCAACACAAAACGGAATCAGCAGAATCTGCTTCAATATTTTGCATGAGCTTTAGTACCATCGGACAACAACAACTTGTTGAAACAACAGCTCAAAGCCTCCGAATCAAAAAACTCACTTTATGATGTTGTTTAGAATATAATTGCGATCAGGAAGAGCCTAGGGAGTTACTGATTTCATCATCCATGATCCAAATTTTATCTCTTCATGAAAAAAAACCGACCGGTTCATAATTTTCTCACGTCAAAATGGTTCTCACGTAGAACGTATTTCCACGAAGGTATGTAAGTCATCAAACATCTGGAATGCGTCAGTTAACGACAAGAGCCTTAACAATAAAAAAATCTGATTAAAATGAAGTTAAATTCCAATTTAAGCCGTACAGAAGGATTGCACAGTACGGAGTAGCAATAAGAGGCGGATTACGATGGATATGTAATCATTGCGTTCCCCATCCACCTTGCCCAGAAGGATTGCATTCCATCTTCACCAGCTCAGATAGGTTGCATTCCATTTCGTTGTCGTTCAGGTGAACGAATGACTGCATATCTTCTGTGAGAGCTCAGTAATGCTCAATTTCTTTTTGTTTGAGATCAGGGACAGTAGCTCTTCGTACTCTTCCTCATCACATCGCCAGAGAAGGTGAGCAAGACTGTCTGCTGAAAGATGAAGAGGCAATTAATTTCTTTGTTTTTGCCATACGTGATTATGCGTCAGATCGACGGCATTCTGATTCTCTAATGATCCAATACGATCTCTCAGTTCTCCATACACTCTTGATATGTAAGCTATGACTCATTTAAAATCTTTCATAAACTATGTTTTCGTCGGATAAGGAATGATGAAGTTCAAAATCTCACGAGCCACCTGATATCAGTCTGTTGCAGAAGAGCTTGAATTCGTAGGAGAAAAAGAAAAAGTGTACGACAGCTAGGATTCCCAAGCCGTCTCCCATCCGAGTTCTTACCAGGTTCGACGTTGCTTGACTTGCGAGATCGGACTAAATGTATGGCTTATGACAAATTATTATGATTGCTGTTTTCTCTTTCTATAGAACATTATTGAGTTGACCGTTATCTCTGTGAATCTTCAAGCAAACCTTCCAAGACATTCAAAGATAATAAGACATACGACTATCGGACTTGATATGTCGGGACAGGCAACTTCGAAATCTGCTCTCCTACTACTGATCGAAGTTTATTATTGAAATTGACAGAAAGGGGACAACAGTCACAAAACATCGGCGCATAGCAATCACTTGACTACTCAACATTTATGTGTTTGAACTAGGAACTCCCACATTTGTAGTTTCATGTCCTTGTCCATTTTCTTATAGAGCTCGCATTCAAAGACCTTCATCATCCAGTCGGAAGATACAAAACAAGTTTCTTTTCTTGCGTAAATATTCTGGAAGTCCTGCTCATTCAGAGAAATGTCTTGTGAGTTCACCTACCTTCAAGTGTTCAACGGAGTATCTCCAAGACAGGAGGAAGATTTCTATTCGTATTGCGTCGGTTATACTTGGGCCCAGCACCAGTGATTCCATGTAGTGTTGACACAATTGAACGACATGTTTCACTTCGAACTTATGTCCCCAATGAAGCAACTGTCGGAAGTTATGATCTGGAAGCATAAAGACTAAATTCGAACCGCGACAAACATCATACCATCGACTGGCTCACAAGGTAAGTAGAGATAATGAAGAAGCTCTCGAAGTTCCAGGAGTGGAATCGTATCCTTCAAATAGATTTCAGAAGACACTTTGCTGCAATGGAAAGGTTGGAACAGTCAACTAGCTGGCTCTCACCCCTCTTCGATCATAGCTCTGAAGATCTCCGAGTTCCAAGATAGAATCTGAGTTATAACAGATTAATGGCTTGCATCTACTCTCCTACCGGACTGTGGCAGTGAAGCTTTACACCATCGACTTCCAATACCAAATCTTCGTTTGCATCTGTACTATCCAAGTTTTTCTGTTCAAATTTACTAAGACAATAAAGATAATTGGAAGTACTCAAGCAAACTAACTGAACTCCCTTAATCCTGATGTTGGAGATCTCTATGTCAAACGACTCATCGTTTGGTAGAACAGGGTACTCCCAACTCACGTAATCCATTTCTTTGCTTATAACAACATCTTTTCTGTCTTCAAGTCCCTCCTGCAGAAAAGCGAGAACGGTTCACTGAGAAAATTTCATTTACATACCTCATCCCACAAACCAGAATCGGAACAGGTTTTAGAAACCGAGACATCGAAAGTTACAGTCCAGGGAAACAAAGGGCAGGTTTTCACTTCAGTCGGTCTGTTACTTATCACAATCTCGGCTTTATTGCTCTCCAGTGGAGAGAATTCCACAGTCCTGAATACAGATTGTAAAATTTTGAAAGGCAAACTTACCATTCGACATTTCCAGTTATCCTGGTCATGAAATCATTTTGATTTTCGGAGGAAAGAGGAAAGGTATGAGAGAAGTTCAAGCTCATGTCACCTTGTTGTTCTGTTAGTAATAGACCGGCAAAAGTCAGAAACGATATTTCGCAACTGCACAGTACGGAGTAGCAATAAAAGGCGGATTACGATGGATTTGTAATCTTTGCATTCCCCATCCACCTTGCCCAGAAGGATTGCATTTCATCTTCACCAGCTCAGAAACGTTGCATTACATTTCGTTGCCGTTCAGGTGAACGAATGCCTGCTTATCTTCTTTAAAAGTACAGTAATGCTCAACTTCTCTTTGTTTGATATCAGGAACAGTAGCTCTTCGTGCTCTTCCTGATCACATCGTCAGAGAAGGTGAGCAAGACAGTCTGCTTTTAACGAAATAATTGGCCGAAATCGCGGTTGCCAACAAGGCTTTGAGCTGAGTCATAACTGTGCAACGAACAAACTA